TTCCAGAGTATGCAACTCTTATTTTCCATGAGGCTGTGGCTAAAATTATTAACCTGTTTTAGATTTCAGACTCGCTAAGTATATAACTGATATTATGTCTATAAAAATAAGGTAACTAATATTTACACAAATCAAGTAAGATGCTGCAGATCAAAACCTTATTTTACAGTGCCTGGCACATAGTGAGGCATTCAATGAATTTATCAATAATAATATTAATAGTAGTAATGATAATAGTAACGTCTTTCGCAGTTAGAGGATTGAGGTAATTAAGTTTAATTGTCACTAAGTGAATCTGTGTGTGACTAGGAAGTAAAATTCAATTTGTAGAGAGTATTTTTAATAACTGCTAAGGTATTTTATTCTTTATAATTTTATATGCTGTTTTAAACTTATAAACTCATGCTCTCTTGAGGAAGAATTTAAGGAGGATTATCATAAGAACAAGATGTTTTGTATATAGTGGGGAAGTCAGAACTAAGAAATAGAAAAGGACAGTATATCCAGCACAGGATCCTTCACTGTTGCTCTGTTGAACATAAGATTGGTTTAAAATTTGATGCAGCTAGGACAGAAGGGTCATTTCATTCAGGCCTCATAAACATGAAAGGCCTTGAATTTAGAATAGTAGCATTATCTACTAATTCATGTATGTCTGAAGACCCAGAAATACTCTGAGGCCAACATCTCCATAATGGAAGTTTAGTTCTGTGTCTTTTTGCTGAACCCATTGTCTTAAATATTCTAATTAATTAATTTTTATAAATCCTGCAAGTATCTTGTATAGCCTAATTAAATTTTATTGAATCTGTGTATATGCCCAAGACAAATCAATAACTTTTAAAATATTAAGCATTTTAGGTATATAACAATTTTTATAACTCTGTTTTATTGTTTCTTTTTTTTTTCTTTAATATAAATGGGGCCTCCAAAAGTGGAAATGGGCCAGGCTTCTCCTGACCTTTGGGATTGCTTAGCCAAAAGATTCAAATAGGATTTTATCAGTATTTAATGGGAGAGGAGGAAGCAGGAAACCAGAGAAATTGTGGAGTAGCCTTGAAGGCTTGTTAACAATTGTTGCAGAAATGGAGATGGTTAGCTCTACTCTGTATGAAATAAGAGTCAGGCTCCTGCAGAATGTAGCAGTAAATACTGCATCCCTCACCAAAAATTATTGAAAACCCTTTCCCTGGAGTTTTAAGTCATTAAGCCAAACATTTAACCTTCTGTCTCAATGTGCCTAGTTGATATATACTGCTAAGACACAAAATATATAAAAAGTGTAAAAATATCAAAGTGATAGATTTGCAGTTGAGATGTATGAATAACTTGAGTTATTTCTATTTGCAACACAGACAAACAGCCCATTACCTGATCTTGAGTATGACCAGATAGGATGCATAAATAGCAGCAAAATTTATGTTAATTTTATAATATGTAAATTCTCTTTATGAATGCATTGCACTGAATGTGAAATGTGTGCTCCACCACTACAGACCTTTAAGAAAAAAGAGCAACAGAAAACCCATCTTTTATATGATGGACATAAAATACAAATTAAAACTCAAACAGAGTAGGGGAAAAAGAAAATTGTTAGATGCTGAAAATGAATCTGTTTATTCAAATATATTTGTCCTTTAGCACTGATAAATTTTGTATCTGCATCAAAGAACAGAAAATATTTTTATTATTTTGCTTTGGGTTAATACAGCCATATGTAGGTCTCAAACAAATTTATTACTAGAAATTGCATTCAAATTGATTCCAGTATATTGATTGAAGTTACAGAAAAAGAGATATTACTTAACACTTGAATTGTTTATTGCATTGTTGTCCTAATCTCAGGCAAGGTCATTTTAGTAATCTAGAAGTAAAACTCTTATTTATAAAGCCTTAATTTTAATACATGCTTATTGCAAGAACTTTTCTAGTTTAGAAATTATACACATATATATTATATATACATATTTGTGGTATGTGTCTATAGATCCTGACTATTAAAGTATGGGCAATTGGTATATTTCTACTTAAACAAAGGTGACATAATCAAATGTCTTACAATAGGTGGAGGCAGAAGCATACCTTTTTATAACAAATGCTCAGTTAATTACTCCTTGAATCAGTGCATGCATGGAGTGAAGGATTAGAAAACTGAAGAGGAATGGCAGTAGTCCACATATGAATGGATAGGTGCTCTATGTAAAAGCACTATTATGGGTAGCAAAAAAGTAAAGCGTAGTAGTTACCCAGGTTGTACTGAAACTGTGGATTCTGCCTCACTATTACTATAAAAATACTTCCCTGGTTCAGTTCAGTCCAGTCTCTCAGTCATGTCCTACTCTTTGCGACCCCATGGACTGCAGCCCTCCAGGCTTCCCTGTCCATCACCAACTCCCAGAGCTTGCTCAAACTCATGTCCATTGAGTCAGTGATGCCATCCAAACACCTCATCCTCAGTCATCCCTTTCTCCTCCCCCTTCAACCCTTCCCCAAATCAGGGTCTTTTTCAATGAGTCAGTTCTTCACATCAGGTGGTCAAAGTATTGGAGCTTCAGCATCAGTCCTTCCAATGAATATTCAGGACTGATTTCCTTTAGGATGAACTGGTTGGATCTCCTTGCAGTCCAAGGGACTCTCAAGAGTCTTCTCCAACACCACAGTCCAAAAGCATCAATTCTTCAGCTTTCTTTATAGTCCAGCTCTCATATCCATGCATGACTACTGGAAAAACTGTAGCTTTGACTAGACGGACCTTTGTTGGCAAAGTAATGTCTCTGCTTTTTAGTGTGTTGTCTAGGTTGGTCATAATTTTTCTTCCAAAGAGCAAGTGTCTTTTAATTTCATGGCTGCAGTCACCATCTGCAGTGATTTTGGAGCCCCCAAAATAAAGTCTGTCACTGTTTCCCTCGTTTCCCCATCTATTTTCCATAAGTGATGGGATCAGATGCCACAATCTTAGTTTTCTGAACACTGAGTTTTAACCCAACTTTTTCACTCTCCTCTTTCACTTTCATCATGAGGCTTTTTAGCGCTTCACTTTCTGCCATAAGCATGGTGTCATCTGCATATCTGAGATTATTGATATTTCTCCCGGCAATCTTGATTCCAGCTTGTGCTTCCTCCAGCCCAGCCTTTCTCATGATATACTCTGCATATAAGTTAAATAAGCAGGGTGACAATATACAGCCTCGATGTACTCCTTTCTTGATTTGGAAAGTGGTAAAGAATCCACCTTCCAATGCAGTTTCGATCCCTGGTGGGGGAACTAAGATCCCACGTGCCCTGGAGCGCTAAGCCCACAGGCCATAACTAGAGAAGACTGTGTGCCTCAACAAAGACCCAGCACAGCCAAGAAAAAAGAAAAAACCAAAATAACCAAATCCCCAAAACATAAAGACAAACACTGTAATAGTGTGTAATAGTGGTTAATTTCAACTTCCTAAATAATTGCCAGCACTTTATTTTCTTTTTTTTCTTTTATATTTCACTACGTAAAATTTATTTGCTTTTTTTAATAAAAAATGTATAACACCAGCACCTACTCTTCAATCAGTTAATTTATGAAACCATTCTGTTTTGTAGAATACACATTGGCATTGAAACAGTTTAAGGAAATGTAATAGCTATCTACAAAAAAGTTAATTTTGATTTTATTCCCCCCACTTTTTTATGAGTCTGCACACATAAATGAAACAGTTTATGAGTCTGCACACATAAAACAAAAATTTAAATTTTCAAACATTTTATATTCATTAATGAAAAAGAAGTACACTGCTTTCTTGCTATGGTCTTTATAAAGGACTTAAAAATTTCAAGTTAAAAAAAAGGTACTAGGATAACTGCTTATCTTACAACAGCATTTTTACATAGAACGATTTAATCGGCATGCAACTTCTCTATGTTGTCACATACCTGTAATTTAGGGAAAATTACACCCATTTTACAGAAAAAAATCCCAATACATATACTGCAATAAGCTCAAAGCAATGTTAAAAAGACCAGTGTGAACGGCACACAAAAAATTGTTTCTTTATAAATTATTAACTGGAATTCCTGATCATGAAGTAGGCACGGGGAGATCTAGTCCTCAGGGCTTTGCTCTCTGGAAGAACACCTTTAAGTAGTTTTTAAAAACTTTAGCATCAGGTTGCTGAAGCGCTTGACAAAACTCCTGAATTATCTCTGGAGCTACTTGCAAGGAAGGCAGGTATTCCTGTTGAAGATACTGAACACATTCTGGGCCCCGTTTGAGATGAATTGTTTTCAGTGTCACCGCACACTCAGATAAAGCCAATACTGTTTGTGCATCTGCCAGGTCAAAGGTTTGTTTTAAAGGTGCTAGGAAACATGCGGGGACAATGTGCTTATAAACAAAATCAGCAAATCCCACTGGTCCATCTTTACCTCCCCAGAGTTCTACCAACTTGGAAAGGATAATAAAACATGTTTTCTGAGCAATGGGATCTGGATATTCGACTGCTCCTTGAATAACAGGAACCAGCACTTGTTCTACATTCTCTGCACCTTGATTTGCTATGACTTCACTCATTCCGCTGCCCGTGACGGTTTGCAGGAAAGCAAAGTAACTCCTCCGCAACATCTGCTTCTCTAAAGCAGCAGACTGGTCATTTTCTTCTGCTGGTCGGAGCAAAACTTCAAAAATTGCATGAAGAAGAGGCATGAACATCTGTTGTAAAAATGGGGATACCTGTATCTTAAATTTGGCTGTGATCTGGTTGATGAGAGGGATGAATTCCTGGAGGTCCTTTGCTTCACAGTCTTTGAGCATGTGTTCTGAAGCGGATGGAATGAAGGGAAGGACTTCTTCCTCCAGGCAAATAATCATGCGATGAAGGAAAGTGCGGACTCCACTTCTGAGAACATCCTTTTGTAAGGGACAGCTGAGAGCTGGCAAGAATGTCTGTAAACAGTCCAGGTAAACTTCCGAGCAGCCACACTGCTTCGCGGTCTGCTTGTTGCTGAAAGCTTTGCTGGTTCGACTAGCAAATCCAACAGCATGGTTGAGACAGTCTGCTAGAGATGCCTGCCTTTCTTCGTCCTGTGCCAGCATCAATTTTTCTAACAATTTTAAACTTCTCCATGAGTGGAGTCAACAGATTCCTCATTAATGCCTGCTTCCGCTCTGCTGGATACTCACTATTAACAATTAGCACTCCAGCTGTCTCATAGATAAATAATTGATTGTCGCTGCTCAACAAGGACTGGTAACCATTCTCAGGTGGAGAAAGCTCTAATAAATCTTGTATTCTATTCAGAATATCCTCAATGAAAGGATTCATTTGTTTGTTGAGAGATTTAACAAATCTGGAGAATAGGTGAGCGGTTCTGCTCTGGACTTTAGCACTAGGGTGCCACAGACCCCTGTGATCTAAGAAAGCCATTAGTACACATGGAATGTGCTGAGGTTCAACTGTGAAAAACTTTTCGTATCTAACAACCGTTTCGAAGAACTCCAATGTCACAGATGTGTGTTGATAGGAACTAACTCCTGATGTCACCAGAGTTCGCATCATATCCTGCAAAGCACTAGCTTTTGAAACATCCCCTGAGAAGTGAGCACCATGAGATACTGGAAGAGCTTCTGCCAACATATACAGCAATCTTATTGCCACTTCAGCTTCCATAAACCGTGTAGTCTGCCAGTTCTGCAGTGTAGAACTGAACACTCTGCGAACAGAAGCCAGCAGTAACTCTGGTGAAACTTGAGCAAGCCTGTCCAACAATAACTTCAGTTGTTTTCTATATTCTACAAACATGGCTTCGTCTTCACCCTCATTTTCAAAGTTATATTCTTCATCGTAAGTTAATTTTTTCATAACGGCCAACATGATTGCCTCTACATTAGCTTTTTGTTGATCCGAAAGCACTGTAAGCTGTTTCAAAATATGAAGATAATCGTAACAAAATCCAATAATGTTAGAAGAGATGTCATCATCCTCATGAATTAGGAGCTGCAACATCAGCGCCACCTTTGTTTCAGTACCTTGCAGTGCCTCCTGAGCATTTTTGATATCCCCATTTTTAATTAATTTAGTCCAGCTAACTATCAATGACTGTCCCATTCCATTGACCAATTTAGAAAATCTGGCCAGGAAGTCAACATCTTCTTCCCGGTCAATGCTGAAAAACCCAGCAGACTGTAACACTTGACACAAAGATTCTACCAGTTTCATTTTATCAACAGGATCCATTCCTTTATTTACAATTTCAAATAAACAATCAGTTCTTCCCTAGAACTTCTATTGACATATGACCTAGCAGCATATTTATAAACGTATCATTGGCTATAAGGGATAAGTCTATCCAAGAGACATAAGCCCCAACTACTTCAAGGCACTGGCATGTCACTTCTGAATTGGTATACTGATAATTTTGTAGGATTTGGTACCATGATTCCACCAAGTTTGGAATGCACTGTTCCCTCATAGTATCCTTTATGAGAGTATTCCTACGAGCCTCCTCTGAGGTGTGAACCACATCACGATCCACCAACTCTGAATCAATAGCCATGAGAATTCGGAGGTACAGATCTACTCCCCTTGGATTTAGGTCCACTACTGAGAGAATGTCAAAAAAAAATTTGGGCCATTTAGTGAGATATTATGTAACAAAAAGCAAGGCGAAGACTTGGGCAGCTTTATTTCATATGAAGGTCTTCTCTGGTTGGGGATTGAGCATCTGAGCTTGAAGCCAAGATACAAGCGTCTCTCTAATTAGTTGTTGTTGAACAGTGGTTAGTTCTGAATATTTGTATTTAACTTGATGTTCCAGTACTTGGAAGCAGAAAAACTTAATATGATCATCACTGTACGTCCTCTGAGCCAGAGCTTCTGCACACACCTGCCAGGCATCTGGGGAAATCTTTAACTGTTCAAAATAGGCCAGGGCCCTTTGTCTGAAAGTCTGAATCAGCATTTGGATTTAGACCTAAGAGAGCCTGTTCATCCATTCCTGCTGCTATACTTGGAGTTTTCTGATTACAATAGGCGTCCCCTCTAATCCCACAGAAGAATCCACAAACATCTTCCCTATCACTCCATCCCGCCTGCCCGCCTGCACTCCCGAGGGCCCGTCAGTGGAGCCGCGCCGCAAGCAGGGAGCGAGAAGAGCGGCCCTCGTCCTCGTCGTCCTCCGCCACGGCCGCGGCGCTAACGCTGGAGACGGAGCTGGCCGGGGCCGCGAGCCTCTCGCCGCTCTGCGTTTCCTGGCGCCTTCTCCTCCGTGGCGCCGGGCAGGAAAGCTAGCAAGCTGGTGGGCGGGGTTGGCGCCCCAGGAAGGTTAAGAGCGTGAGGGCCGGCTAAGGCCGCCACGGCCGTCGCCAGCACTTTATTTTCTAAAAAAAAAAAAATGCATTGGGTAAAGTTATGATTAGTCTCTGAAACAGTTTTATCTGTTAGTAAGTAAAGAAAGTGATGACATCTTAGAGGGCACATGGATGTATTTGAATTCTGCCTCCATTATTACAATTGTGAATTCTGATCCCAGATCTCCCCACCTTTAAAAGGACCATAGTAATGTTCAGTCTAGATTAATTTTGAGTCAGTTAAACAAAACAGTGCTTTTTTCCCCCCTAGTTCATAGCATGAAATATAATATTGAAGTAAATGTTAATTATTTTTCTTCCTAAATCAGAGAGAGAAAACCTGAGTTCTATGAGCAACAGAAACCTTAGGAAAAGTGAAAGTTGACCGTATCATTTGAGATTCTATTGTGGACATATTTGTACATATATCATACATTTTAGTAGAGTCAATAAAAATATGCAAATGTCAGTATAATTTCATGGTGTCACTAAAATAATTGCTTCTTTTTTTCTCCATCTTTGCTCTGTTTTATTTTGACAGATTGACCCAGTGCATACCTGTGGGCTTAGCTTAGAGCCAGTTCTATCTCTGTGTGTCTGAATCATTGGATTCCTCTGTTGCATTGCAGTTTTCCGTTTTATTCTCCAAGTGGCTTATACTTTGACTTTTATTAATCCTAATAACTGAGTTTTCCATAACCTATTTTAAGTCTTCAAGTTACTGATCATCAGTTCACTTGGTCTCTACTCATATTTAGATATTAATTCAGTCTTGTTTCTCTTTCTTATCCAACATGGTTTTCTGCTGTTTATCTAACTTGATTTTTTCTTTGCAGATTGGCACTCTTTTCTCTTGTCACCAGCATAATAGCACCTTGAACTCTTTGCCAAACATTCTTGGCATGATTTGAGTTTGTGTGGACCTAACATCTCATGTGTTGTTATTCAGTCACCAAGTCAGGTCAGACTGTTTGTGACCCCATGGACTGCAGCACTCCAGGCTTCCCTGCCCTTCACTATCTCCCTGAGTTTGCTGAAACTCATGTCCATTGAGTCGGTGATGCCATTCAAGGATCTCATCCTCTGTCGTCCCTTCTCTTTCCACCCTTAACCTTTCCCAGAATCAGGGCTCATCTTTTCCAATAAGTGTTTGTTGTAATACAGTATGAACATTGTTGCCTAAATCCAGTTATGACGGGAAGCTGAGGTATCTAAGACCTCAGACTTAGAACCAATAGCCTGAGGTGGCAGGAAATCAGTATACCAGACTTGTAAAGAGAGATCTAAAGTCAGTTTTAGATGGTGGACATCTTTACCTTCTTTAGCTACTTTGCCTGAGAGCGCTTTCCTCCTGTGACCGCTGATGACAGAAAACGGTGCTTCCTTCCTACGCCTTCCAGTACCTTGTTTACTACCAAGAAAGTTGTTCCTTTCTACCTTCTTTTTGCCCAAGGATTTGGAAATAATAATTTTCTTTTAGAATTAAACTAAAATATTATTATATTACTATGTCATAGATCACAGTAAAAATACATATTACCTTATAGCAATTTAGGGCTCATTACTTAATAATAAAAAAAGTAATAACAAAGGAATTTAAGTGATAACATAAAGAGGAATATTAACTGTGTAGATTAGACATTCCAGAGGTTGGATAGCATATTCTTCTTCTAATGTTGAACAAATTATGCCAACATTTAGCAGATTAAGTCAATAAGCTTTTTTTCCCCCCATGGTTTCTGTGGTTCAGGGATTATGGAATGACTTTCCTGGGTGATCTTAGCTTGATTTCTGATGAAATGGCAGTCAAGATGTTAGCTAGGGCTTCCTTCATTTCAATACTTGCCTAAGCTTGGAGAATCCCCTTCCAGGATAACTCACTCATGCCATGGTTGGGAAAAGGCGCCAGCTCCTTCCTGGCTCTGAGCAGGAGGCCCCAGTTCCGTACTGTGTGGCCCTTACAGGGCACTTTGGGTGTCCCCTTGGCATGGCAGCTGTCTTCCCCAAGAAACATGGAGAGGATGGGAGAGAGGGAAGAAGGAAGGGAGGGAGAGAAAGAATGAGAGCGAGAACAAGAAAGAGGCTGCAGTGTCCTCTCTGGCCTAGTCTTGGAAGTTACTGTTACTCTGCCACACTAACTGTTACAGGTTCTAGGTTCAGTTAAAGTGAAAGAAGTTAATTTTAGATTTTAAAGGAAGATGTATCTGACACTTAGTGGACAGATTTTAAATCTTCCACAGTTTGTCTTCATATATTTGTCTTAATCAAATATGATTTGATTAAGCATATCAGTCATGTTACGTTAGAGCAATTCCTGCCTTTGGGTTCTGCCTTTGCAGGATGAGCAAAGTCATCCAAGCTTGGTTCTCTATGTAGTAAATCACCCTAGCCTTAGTATCTCACATTACACTTTCCAGAAAGAGAATGTGCTTGTAGTTTTCTGAGTGGAGTAAGACATCATCTTTTGCAAAGGTTACTAGCACACCATGTTTCATTTTTCATTTGTTTGAGCTTGTTCACATGCTTTTTTATAAATCAGGTCGGTGGGAATGAGGCATTTTGATCACTGCCTTTGGGATGGGTTATCTGCACCAATCAGTACAGCAGAGGTTTTGGGAGTCTCCTTATTCTTTTGGAAACTCTGGGGTTGACCCTGAACTGGGGTGGAGTAATCTCTCTCTCCCGCTTCCATTCTCCTACCCAAACTGCATGGCTGCTCTGCTGGGGGAAAGAACTGAATGGATATTAGTTGGGCAAAAAAATTAAAAATCTGTCTCATGCCATAAAAAGATCAGATTTTGGGCTAGTAAGAATAGACTGAATAACTAAAAGAAATAGTATATTTCACATTTTCTTTTTTAGTTTTCTAAGGGCAGGCATAAACAAAAGTTAAGAGATATAGGGAGTGGCGATTAACCTATTATCAAGGCCAAATTAAAAAGACCATCCCTACTGGGGAAGTGGATATAGAAAGCCTTATCCAGAAGATTTTTAACATTCCAATGGGAGAAGCTTCTACAAGGGAATAGCTTGAGGCCGATAAAATTCAATTAATATAAATCCTGTTCTGAGGCCAAGCACCTACCAAATGACTCTTTGGCTCAGAGAATGGAGATTAAGAATTTACTAGTCTGTATTACCTTCATATTTTTCATCATGCCTTAGCAAATTAGAATTCTGCTTTACATGTTAGGTTTATGAACTAAACTAGTTAACACAAGTCTACAGGATTTTACATTCACTTGGTGTACTGTCAAAATCTGAGCCTAAAAGGCAAACTGGCTTCAGATAAATTTGGCTACAGAATATCACGATTATTACCAATGTTTCTGTGACAGTTAAATATTAACCTTTAAATAAATCTCAGTATCTGCACTGACCATACTTTACTCATTTTTTTATTTTTTAATTTGACTTGTGTCAGATCTTAGTTGCCTCACAGGGTGCTCTAGTTGTGGCAGGAGGGCCCAGTTGCCCCAGGACACGTGGGATCCCCGTTCCCCAAACAGGGATTGTACCCATGTCCCGCACGTTGCAAGGCAGATTCTTAACCACTAGAAGTGGTTTGTCCCACTTTAGATGGAAAGGGAAGTCCCTTAGTTAGAAAGGGAAGTCCCAACTTTACTCATTTTGATAAGGATCTAGAATCCCCTCTAATATTTGCTGTTCTACCCCCTCTAACTGTACAAACATTATATCTAGTTGTTAGTAAAGAAAAATAAGTGTAAGCACTTCTCATGGTTTCAGTTTTTAATTATTCTTTGTTGAGGAAAACTTTTTGCTGTGTGACAAGAAATGCTTATTTTTTCCTTTTTCAAGTAACTTTCCGTGATTTCTTATGACTTGTGGGTATTATATATATATATATATATATATATATATATATAT